TTAGAAAATTGGGTGTTATAGAAAGAGTGTCTAAGAAGAAGAACACGCGGAATTTATACTAGTTCAGTTCCAACCAGTTGACCTACGTCCAGTTCTTAGGATACCTCTGAGTTTTTTTACTATACTCCAAGATTCAATGGGCTCTTAGTGCCACAGTACACTAATTGGTTTTCTCTCTCTCAATCCCTTCCCCTTACTTCCCATAAAGATACAATTCCCTCGAAAGTCCCAAACTCTTGAATCACTCATTGAAAGAAGTAAGATTTCACAAACTCTCTTTTAAGAGTATATATGATAAACACTGACACTCAGAATAAGGAACAGAGTATTGAATGCAGAAATTAATTTAACAGTTGGTAGCTCAAGTTCATTTACTACTTCATCTAATGCTCTTCAAGTTTTGTAGTTAGAGAATTCTAATTTCCGTTAGATACAAGAGCTTGTAATAATTGAAGTATCGTTTGCGTAGATTGGTAATTGCAACAGTTGTTTCGCATTAAATGCACTTTTGACAGGTAGCTTAAGCCTATAACATATTCGTTGAGCCTCGTAACCCGCAGAAACGTCTCAGAAAAAAATGCAACAATTTACTTCACAAGAGAATATAAATGAATAATAGAAGAGATGATTATCCTTGGAGTTTAATACATAAAGTGAAAATCATAAGTTAAGGATCAGAGAATCATAGAATCAATTTATCAAAGATCTTATCGATAAGTAGCTTGATCGATAAAGTTATTGATTAATTGGAAATGAGAGAACTTGAAAATCAAACTCATTTATCGAAGTCATTATGAATCAAAAACATTATGGGAAAGCTGATCGATAAAGAGTGAAAGTTAAACAAAGTGATTCATCATGAGAATCCTTCTGGAGTTAATTGAAAATATTAGTTTCTTGGATCAAGGGCCATCTTTATTTTTGATAGAAAATATAAGATGATTAATGAAGCTGAGAAAAGCTTAAAGATAAAATAATATCATATTTTCTGAAAGATAGAGTGTAGAACACTTCAAAGCAACGTAACTGAGCTTTTCAGAACATGTTATTGATAATTCACTTTATCCAAAAGGTTATTGATAATTGAAGCCTTAGAAAACTAATTTGAACAGTTTTATCTGAAAGGTTATCGATAATTGAATTTATTTGAAAGGTTTTCTGAAAAACAAACTTGGATAGAGATAGAGCAAGACAGGAAATACATGACATTGATTGATAACGTGATCGATAAGTGTATTTATAGATAAAGTGATCAATAAATGCATTTATCGATTAACTTTTGAACAGGACTTGAAAGTTTTAGAAACCAGGAAAGGATTTATCGAACAACTTACTGAACAACATAAGAAGCAATACTTATTCAGTTTCAGATTAGATTATCGAGAATTATAGAAATTGATAAAAGCTTCGATAACTCATGAAGTGTTCTAATAAGATATAGTTTATTGAGACTTGCTCATTTATCCGAAAGATGATCAAAAACCTTATTTATCGATAAGGTCATCAATAAATGCTTATCAATAAACCTTAAATGCAAAGAAACTTGCCATGCATCCAAAAGGTGATCCGAAACTCCATTTATCCGATAGGTTATTAATAATGACTTAACAGTAACTATACGCAAAGAAACTTAGCTATTTATCCAGAAGGTGATCCGAAAATGCATTTATCCAACAGGTGATCGATAAACAGCTATCAATAATGAAATGCAGAAAGATTTAACTTTTTACTTTGTCATCATCAAAACCTTAAATCTAACACTAACTAATACACATGATTAGATTGGATATTTTAAGGGAGAAAACACTTATTTATTACAAATAATTAATTTAACTAATTTTCTGAATATACTCAAATTAGTCAACTAACTCTTATATAAAGACCGAAGATAGTATGCTTTAATTAAATCATTATTTAACTTTCTTAATCTTCACAAATTAATTTTATATTATGGATTGGACGTAGTATTATTTCTTGCCCTCCAAATGACATTAATCAAGATGATAATGCCATTGATTAAGCAATGAAGCTCTTCCAAGATTGATAAGAGTGTCCTGGGCAGGTTTTGGAATCCTGAAAATTATTCACCTCAAGTTTAACAGAAAAAGCTCCCACACAGGTAGATCTTGCCAATAGATAAAAAAACAGACAAGCTCCAAAGTTTATGGGCTATCACATCTGAACGGACACATAAAAGTGGAATTCAAATGATGTTGCTGTGTAAGAGCATCACTTTAGAATGGCTTCATTGAGTAACTTCCAGGTGAAGAGAATACTTTTCAGAGGTAGATGGAAAGTTACTCGTTCTAAAAAAATATAATTCAAGCTGATGACTGGAATTATCTAATACCATGACACAACATATTGAAAGCTTGAAACATAAATACTATCTCTGATTCTTAATATAAGAACTAGTTTGACATTCAATTTAGTTGTAAATATAATATCACATTTCATTTTATCTCTCATATTTATCTATTTTTTTTAAAATAGTCTTTTATAGTAATTGCACATATTAAAGGTTTTATCAAATGATTGTTCTAGCTGATATACATGATTAGCAAAGATATTTTAGGAAAAATAAGACCTATTTGTTACAAATAACTAACTTAACTAATTTTTATAATTTATTAAAATTAGTTAACTAGTTTTTATATTAAGAAATGAAGGTAGTAATTTAAAAGCAAAATTACACGATAAAATACTATTGGAAATACTTGACAAAAAAATGCTTAAACGTACTCCATAAATTTTAACCCAACTTTAAATATATTCATGTTCAGGAATAAGTATGGGGAGTAAAGGACAGTTTATGCTTCATCTTATCAATTTTATAAGCTATAATTTTCTGAACAGCTTTGATCATTTTTCTAAACTACGCTTTGAGATTTCTAAACATTTAATACGCTTTCTTTTGTTTTTATCTTTAATTAAATGCCTTTTTATCTTCTTTTTTTTTGAGTTTCTCTATTTATTTTCTTTTATTTTTTTCCCCACCCATGATCTTTTTCACTCACTATCTCTTTAAATAAATATACATTTAAAAATATATTTATTTTCATATTTATTGTTTTTAATTAATTTTAATTGAGGTAGTTATTTGCAGCTTATATAAAAGAAACATAATACATCCTTGAAGGTACCCTGGAAACAACTTGTTTTATACCCTCCATATAATACAACCTTCAATCTTTAATGTAAGAGTTGATTTGATTTTTATTTTGATTCTAAATATAAAACCCCAATCCACTTTATCTCTCATATTTATCTATTTTTTTCAAGATAGTTTTGTAATACACTTGATGAGTAAGGATATTTTAGGAAAGACAACACTTATTTATTACAAATAACTAACTTAATTAGTTTTCTTAATCTAATAAAATTAGTTAACTAGCACTTATATTAAGTGTCCGTTTGGATTAGTGGTGAACAACTGTGATTTTAGATAATCATAAATTTTATAAGTGAGACTGACTATAAGTGACATTAGCTAATCATGATTTCTGTTTGGATATTTTTTTTATAAGTGATTTTAAGAATTGTGATTATGTTTGGTTTTCATTTATTAAAATCACTTATGGGTATATAATTACTAAAAAAGACATAAAGGTAATAAAGTTGTTTACATTTTCATAATTATTATATTTAATAATAAATTTTATTAAATATAATTTAATAAATGACATGAATATTTAAATATTTTTTATTTTAAAATTATTATTATTTAAAATCACTTGCAAAGTTTATGTGTAGTACAAATATTAAATAAATGACCCCATATAAGAAAAAGCAATCACAAGTATTCAAGGCGGTTATTAGTAAGAGGCATCATGAGGATTGAGGATTGTAAATTTGTGAGAATAAGATGAGTGAATTCCGACTTGCATAAAGAAAGTGAACAAATAAAAAAGGAGACATACCTTTTGATTGCTTGATTGATCCAAAAAGGTGAGATGACGGCCTTTTAAGAAAAAATGTGAAGTGGTTTAGCCGTTTAGGTTGAAAAATTGTCGACAAAATATATGGAGATAATATTTGAAAAGAGATTTTTGGAAGAGTAAATGCAGAGATATCATTTTAGATAAAATAACAATAATATATATAAAAATAAGCTGAAAAATTATTTGTCATCATTATTTTCCTAATTTAACGGTGCTTCACGAATTAGAATATTACTTGAATATTTGATTGTGTTGTTTCAATCATATGCCATCTGTTATCTGATTTTTTTAAAAATGTCTTTTAGATAAAATTAAAAGAAAAACACTTTCATATTGCATGTTTTTTTTTAAAAAAATTAAAATAATTACCATTAGAATGAGGGGTAGATTGGAGAAAATTTAGTTAATGAAGATTCATCGGAATTTTTCAAACGCATAAGCTACTTCTTGTTGCTTATCCTAAAAGTGCAGTAGAAGGTTAAAATCACGATTCATCGAGATTTTATAAAAATTATTCAAACATTCTAAACATGCTTCATAAGCACTTATTTGAATTTAAACGGGCTTATTTAAAATCCTACCGCTTAACTAAACAGGCTCTAAGAAAGGGAGGTAGTATCTTACTACCTTTACTCTTTAATATAATATTTAATTTGATATTTAATTTGGTCTTAAAAATAAGATCTTAATATACTTTACTTTTATATTTATTTATTTTTTAAAAAGTAATCTTTACAGTAGTTATATATGTTAAATATTTCATTAAACGATAGTTTTAACTAGTATACATAATTATTTTTAAAAAAAATATCTATTTATCACAAATAACTAATTTTTTTTAATCACTCAAATTAGTTAAGTAATTTCGGAATGGAACCGTACTCTGATATCCATATAAAATAGCATCCCATTGAAAAACACAATAATGCGCGCCCCCATTCCCCATAAGGGCACAAACCGCGAGTTTGGGCTGCTTTTTGAGCTAAAGAATGATTTTGGTCAAAATAGCCAAATACTTTTTTTTTGACCGGAAAATAGCCATAGCCAAATGAAATTGAAATCCGACGAAAGCGAGAGACCGAGGACATCCTGTCAACGGTAATTCCTACCAAACCCGCAGATTCGACCTTACTCTCAAATCGTGTCGTCGCATTTCAATACAATAATTCAAATTCGTTTCAGCTACTTCAATCAATTAAGTATCCGTATTTTGCGTAGTTTTGTCTTCGTACTGGCCTGAAGAACGGATCAGACCGCATAAGCAAAATGGGAATGACGATGGCTGGAGTTGATCCCCTCGGTGAAAAAGCTGTTAATATGAGAGAGTCGCTCCAGAAAAGCCAGATCATAACAGACGACGTTGTTGCAATTATGAGTTCCTTTGACCATCGGCTCTCCGCCCTTGAAACTGCCATGCGTCCTACTCAGGTTCTTGTTCATTTCCCTTTTGTCACTACTGTCTCTCTGCTTCTGAAGAAGCATTTCGGGAAGTCGATGCGTTTTTATTTGAATTGAGCCCAATTTGAGTTTTTGGATCTGGGGCTGTTGTATTGACTTATAATTTACTTAGGATTTCTTAGTTTTTTCCTTTCTTGGATCCTTTTTCGAGGTTTAAAAGTGTGAATTTAGAGCTTTGATTTCAGGAAACTTGATTGTTCACCGTAGGATCCTTCATTTGGATTTTCAGATTAGAACGCATTCTATTCGGAAGGCTCATGAGAATATTGACAAGACGTTGAAGGCTGCAGAGGTCATTTTGGTTCAATTCGACCTATATCGTCAGGTTGGTTGCGTGTTTACTGGTTATATTTGTATCTCGATTGTAATTGTTTGAAAGGCAAATATGTTCAAGTGATAGTCTTCTAGTAATATTTTACTTACATGTATTATTTGGTGAATGAATGTTCAAAAATCAAAATCCGGTTTTCTTTGTTTGGTTTGAAAACAAGTGATTTATTTGGTGAGATGTCTAGGACCTCGCCCTTCCCATTGGTCTACTCAACTGATTATTGTAATTGAGTTGTCATGTAATAAAGTTTGATCCTACCAAGAGATAATGCAAAATGAATTACTTCGAAAATAAAAAGAGATAGTCATCAAAATGATATTTGGAACATAATAAAATAATTATTAAATTCTAATTCTAAATGAACTAAATAAATACTTTTTCTTGTCTCAAATATAAGAGACTAATACTACCGATAAAATTAGTAAAGTTAGTTAAGCTACTTAATTTTTTAGCAACATATACTTTCTTTCCAGATCTACCCTTAGTTAATTATTGGCATTCTTCCCTGTGTCTTAAATTTCTCTCTCATACTTTATTTAATAAGCGGCATTTCAGGAAAAGAGGGTATTTAATTACCTAAAGATTGTCTTTCATCTTAGACCTACAGGACACTTCAACAAATGTCTTATATTTGAGAACAGAGGAAGTAATTCATAATTCCTATGTTTATCTTTAATCTCCAATTTACAACGACTTTACTAAATGACGCCTCTTCTATTCTCTTCCCATTCTCCATTACTCTCTCCGTGTTGAATAAAAATCTGCTGTGAGAATTGAAATCCGGAAAGAATCTATATTGAACTGTTTGGAAGATCAAAGGATGCAGCTGTGAAATGTATCAGGAATAGCATTAGTGGATATAAAACTTTAGTTGGTTGGATCTGAATGTGTTGTTCTCTCTGAATGCTTTTCTTGATATGCCTAATGATTTTCACATTCTAAATTTACTTCCAATTGCTTTTCAAAACCAATGGTGCTACTTTTATCATTTATATTTTAGGGTTTTTCATCATGACATCATTGGTCTCTTCCAGGGTAGCTTCCTTTACTGCATTCTGATCTTGAGGGCATTCATTTTCTACCTTTCCTTGACCTTGGTTATCCTGAACTTTAATTAGATCTTTCAAGTTTTGGCCAGTGATTTGTGTGCTGAACAGTTTATTAGCATTCATGATTTCCTCAAGACAGCAGCCTACTATTCTACATCAGACTTGTACCTTTCCTTGAGATTGTCCAAGCATTGTGCATAATTTGGGTGCTTTGTCCATGGAGAGTTTAGTAGAAATACCCTAAATTACTCCCAAGTGCTGAATAACTGCAATTTAGATTAGCCTATTAATTGGGTAGAAAACAAGGTCAAAGAGGCTTAAAATTCACTTGAGGCACTGGAAAATTTAGGCCCACATAAAGGAAGTCTTGTCAATACGTTACAGTAAGAGTAGTAGCTTGTGGCAGCATATTCTTTGGGGATGTGTCAGATTTCAGCAACGCAAGACAACAAGAAGTTTTGGGTGGATGAAAGGTAGTGGAAGGAGTGGTTAGAGTTGTAGCCTTGTCTAGTGGCCCTTTAGCCTAGTGGCACCAAGCTTTTCCCACTTGTAAGAGGTTGCGGATTTGATCCCAATTGTTTTCAAGCTATTTAGCTTGCCCTTGTATATTCCAAAAAGGGTTGTGACCTTGCAATGGTACCGTCTGATGGAGAATCAATGGCAAAGAATACTAGAAAAGGGGAGAGAGAAGGGTCATATAGTAGAAAACGGGGAGGGCGATTATAGTGAGAAATAAAGCGATAAGGGGAAGAAGGGAGGTAGAGTTTCAGCAAGCAAGGCAAGAGAATTTTATTACTAATCCATGAAATATGACTTTAATCCCAAAGTACAGCAGGCTTTATATTGAGCCCAAGAGATAATCCTCATAAGATAAAGCTTATAAATTAATTGAAAAATAATAGGCAAAAATGTATCTTTGGTTCTCTAACTTCATATAAGATTTCAGTTTAGTTGCTTAATTTTATAGAGTATCCTTGAGTCCTCTAACCCTAAAACTGTTAGTTTCAAATGATAATTTTTTGTTCCAATCATTATTATTTTAAAAAACAAGCAATCACTCCCCGCATGATGTGCAGGAAGCATCCATTGCGATCATCTAGCTTAACCAAATTACATAAAAACATTGCAACCAAAGACCCCCTAAAAAATGAGTACGATGAGAATAGAGTGGGCAGTATAGAACACAGACCAGAGGCGCATATATAACAAGCACAACTCATGCTATTCCGCCTCCTCTCAATTTAAACTAACTAGCATTGGTACAATAGAGCACGTGTGGTGGAAATATATTGCCAATACACAGAGCCAAGAAATGAGCCAAACAGGCTTAACATTGTAGTATAAGAGCTTACTGTTCGCATGAACAGTAACAATGAGAGGAGAGCTGGACAGCATTTGCGGCTAGCTCAGCTTAAGTATGATGTAGATATTGAAGTTATGTAGATTAAACTTAATATGTCAACATTGAGAATATTTTGTCAACATTTAAAATTTTAATGTCGGCATTTTTTTTTTTTTTTGCTAATAAAACTAACGGTATTATGGTTAGAGTATTGAAAAAACAATTAATAAAATTAAGGGACCCAAACAAAACTTTATGTGAAGTTGAAGGACCATAGATGCACTTTTTGTCAAAATAAAATGACTGTGGTCAAAGTGATGATATCAGCTTGACAAATGCAATATTCAACTCAAATAATGTGTTCTTTTGTTAATGTTCCCATTGACACAATATGCAGTCGGAAACAAGGGTACTGAAAGGGCCACATGAAGACCTGGAGAATTATCTTAATGCAATTGATCAGCTAAGAGGCAGCATTCAATTTTTTGGCAATAAGAAGGGCTTTAAGAGTGGTGATGATGTTGTCAGCCAAGCCAATAATTTAGTAGCTAAAGCCATTTCTAAGTTAGAAGATGAGTTTAAACAGCTGTTATTATCTAACAGGTTTGTTGGTCATTCCTTGATTTTGTTCTCTTATTTCTGTATGTTGGACTAAAAGTTAATTGGTTTTTGTAAACTCAATAACCTTCAGTTGTTCTTTGTAAAGGAAAAATTAAATCTCACCTGATAAAGTAACCAAAAATGTAAAAGAAAAGCAGCAATCTGGAATGGTTGCTTATTCCAACTTCTTGCTATTAACATTTAATATCATTGTCAAAGGATTTCTGTTGTCTTTATGTGACACAGTGGTGTTTATGGTGAAACAAATTTATAAAGTATCTTTTTTGTCCTTATAATTTTAAAACACAGTCAAAGAAAATTCTTTCTAAAACCATTAATTAACTTGATGAAAATGCTTATGTGCAATTTTTCAAGCCAATTAAAGGAAAAAAATATGCTCAGTATTGTCATTATTAATTTATTAATGATACCTTAGCTTTGAAGTGTTTTCTAAAACCTTCAATTTAATCAGCCTAAAAAAAGATATCCAGATCCAGACTAACAAAAAAACGTAACAACTCACATTGTATAGATATACAACCCTAAAAAGATTTAAATTTAAATGTTTATCAATTTACAGTGAACCTAACTTTTTTTTTTTTTTAAAAATAAATTTTTATGGATTGTGATAATTAATTTTAATATTTTAAAAAATTTTAATGATAAAATTAATTAATAATGCTAATAGTAAATTAGATTTTATTTCTTTTATTTTGTTGAATTGGCTTCAAAAAATTACATATCTATTTTTCCCTTTAAGTTAGTTGATGGCTTTAAGTAAAAGGAAACTTTTGACGGTGTTTTAAAAGGAAATTCAATGTGAAGTTCAACGTAAATTTTAAGAGACTAAAAGTATACTTCTTCTAAAAGTTTTTAATAACTTATTAATTATTTATATATGAAACTTAATAGTTATTACGAACAATATTCCTTTCTGTGAGAAATGATAATGTTATAACATTTAAAACTTAGATCCTTCTATTCTGAAGATTTTGTTGACATTGTTTTCATGTACCAATCAAGTGTACTTAATTGGTTTCCGTATTTTCTACTTTGAACAGTCTTATAATTTGTAGTGCATATTGTCTTTATCTTTTCTATGGTTCCTGCATGGGAAAAAGCATAATGGCTTGACTCAATAATTATTGTCACGTAAGATATCTTCCAGTTATTCAGAAAGATGGTTGCTTTGGTCAAAGCATAATTATTTCTTCATGGCATCTCTGGTTCAGTTATATGATAGAAAATATGGTTGATTTTTTTAGCTATTTCCAAAGTTCTGGTCAAGCCTTTTTGTCTGATTCATCTTTTCGTCTGTGTGATTACAGCCAAGCTGTGGAACCTGAGCGCCTTTTTGATTGCCTTCCAAACACGATGCGGCCATCCTCAAGTTCACCTGGCCACGAGGGGGATTCTATTGGCAAGAATCCTTCCAATAATCATTCTGATTCACAAAATAATAACATGGATGCTTTTGTATACACACCTCCTGCTCTTGTACCTCCGAAAATTTTGGCACTGCTCCATGATTTAGCAGAGCAAATGGTTCAAGCTGGTCAACAGAAAAAGTTACTCAAAATATACAGGTAAGCTCTTTGGATTACAGAATGAAAGTATATGCCTATGTGGCAGTCTACATTTGAAAGTTGCAATTATAAATTACCATGTGAAGAACTATCAAGTTCGGGGATTGAGCTATAAAAAAAAGTCAAGTTACGCTTTTTTTATATCTAAATTCTTCACGTTTAAGTCAAGTTACGCTTTTTTTATATGTAAATTCTTCACGTTTAAGTCAAGTTACGCTTTTTTTATATGTAAATTCTTCACGTTTTTGGTTGAGTATTTTTTCTCATCGTTTTTGAATTTCATTAATCTCTAATGTAGTCTTGTTTAAGAGACACAATATTTTAAACAAACAGAAAATTGTCAGTCTTGTTGTTCTCATCATGCTGTGCATTTTGATGCTAAAGTCAAGGGGAGCCATGAAGAATATCTGTGATGTTTAAAGCAAGAGAATTATGCTATAGCAAATCACAATGAAAAGAGTAGGAAAGAAAAGCAAGCTTTGGTTCACTGAAATGGTTGGCTATGCATATAGAAATAGAACTTCCAAAGGGTATAGTTGAATTCCAGAGTTGAATGCTTGGAATATACAGCTGCAAAGTCAAGGAAGGAGTGTTGGATAAATGTGACTTATAAAGTGATCAAGATTTTATTGTTGCTAACTTTTATGAATAAATGTTCAAAGTAGTTAATATGAGATGAATATTTTTTTTTTTTTTGGGACTAGAATATGTTATTTGTTAAAATTTAAACGTTTTATTTAATATTTATCCAATATCTGATACCTAGCAAATATTTCTGCATGTTAGATTTTATGAGATTGTAAATAAATAATTGGTTAGTGATTATGAAATATATCTCTCACTACAATTTCACAGCCTTGTTCCTGTCTCATTACTCAGTTTTCACAATAACCAAGAAACACAATAGAGAAACAGAAGAATCATTACCTCGCTTATATTCCTGCAGCATCCACAGGAGACATTTATTGAGTAAACAATATGTTTGCTGTATTGTATAAACAATATTTTGAATTGCTTGCCATATATCTTCCCTTCCCAATAGCATTTGGAGTTTTACCGTAATAGTTTATATTACTACTTACGCAATTATTTTGATCATGATTATTGCTGAGCAGAGATGCCCGTTCTGATGTATTGGAAGAAAGCCTGCACAAACTGGGAGTTGAGAAGCTTAGCAAAGATGATGTACAAAGGCTACAATGGGAGGTTTTGGAGGCCAAAATTGGAAATTGGATTCACTTCATGCGTATAGCTGTAAGCAATGATTTTCCAAAGTGTTTATGTTGATTGTTCTGTATGTGCTTGTAAGTTTATATGCCATTAATTTCTGTAATCGTTTTTATTCATTTTTTATTTTTTTGTTTATGTGGGCTTCTATTAAAGCTTATCTCCAAGACTCCCTCTCAAATGTAACTGGACCTAGCTCGCTCTTTATTTTCCCCCCTTCTTCTGATTCCAGTAATCATCTGGGCCCCACTTTATTTGCCCAGGGCTTATGCTTTTTTGAGTCTCAGAGGCCTCAAGTCACAACCTTCGTTTGCTTTCCTAAGCCTGTGCCACTGAACCTCAGATGTCTCTGGTCCAACCTCTTTTTTTTCATCGGTCTCTAATCTTATAGCACTTGGGTGTTTCTTTTTTTGATATCATGTTGCTTATTGATAACAAGCAGAGCAGGACCAGAACAACATTAGAAAAATAATAATATTTACTATTGATATTTACCTCAAAAACTTATACAGGTGAAAAATTAGGAAAACTATTAGGGCTACAATCCAGATGTGATTCCCATGATGAACTCCTAGTCAGCTCATGATCCCTTGGATAACTGTTAGGTGGGAGTGTCCTACTTACACTGAGTATTTAAAATAAATATATTATTATTTGTATATTTTTCTTGAAATAAATTTTCATTCGAACATGTGATCATACTATAACAGGTCAAATTATTATTTGCTGGTGAGCAGAAAGTTTGCAATCAAATATTTGAAGGATTTGATTTACTCAGCGATCAGTGCTTTGCTGAGGTGACTAAAAATAGTGTCTCCATGCTACTTAGTTTTGGAGAAGCCATTGCCAAAAGCAAGAGATCACCAGAAAAGTTATTTGTCCTTTTGGACATGTATGAAATAATGCAAGAGCTTCGTTCAGAGGTATGGGCTTTGATGCCATCATGAATTTTGGTTTCTCCGCACTGCTGCATACGGATTCTAAGTGGCCTCTGGCGTAATCTGGTCCACCAAGTTATATTGTGTTCTACATTTGACAGAGAGCTAATCATATTATGTAGAACTCCGCCCCCCCCCCCCCCAAAAATACTATACTTATTTAACAGATTCAAGATTTAATAATCCTCTGAACTTAATATTGTTAGTTAGAAGTAAAGCAACATTATTTATAGTTGATAAGACTTTTATGTAAATAAAATTTTTAAAAGACAACTATATCTTTGGTGCTCTAATTTTGTAGAAGGTCTCAATTTGGTCCCTTAATTTTATAAGTATATTTTTAGTCCTTTAACTCTACAATTATTAGTCTTAAATGATGATTTTTTGGTGCCAATCATTGACAATTAAACTTAATATATCTATATTTTAGAATGTTTTGTCAACATTTAAAATTTCAATTTCAACATCTTTTATCAATGACGTTAGGCTTAGAGGACTGAAAAGACACTATAAAATTAAGGGAGTAAAATGATACATTGTGTGAAGTTAAATGACTAAGTGTGTTCTTTTGCTTATATAAAATAGTCGTATTGTTAACTCTGTTTTAAGTCTGACAAAAGAAATCATTGGTGAAGGTGTCTAAAGCTTTTTGATCCTGATGGATGTGGTTGAGAGCTATTTAGCCATCATACTGAATTGGATGGATTGATCTTCTATATCCACCATCCTATATGAGTATTCTTCCTTCAAAGGCAGACAGTGCATGTGAATCTCTGTTTCTCCTTAGAAAACTACAGTTTTCATTGTAATATCTGACAATTAGAATTGCCATGGTAATTGTGACGTTGCTAGCTTGGCAAAGTTGTGTTATATGTGTTATCACGCCAGCAAGAAGCATATTGCGATGGTGTTAAATTATATTATCAAAATCTTTTGACGTTTTGCAGATGGAGACACTGTTTGAAGGGAGAGCTTGCACTGAAATCAGGGAAGCTGCGTTGGGTTTGACAAAACAGCTTGCACAAACTGCCCAAGAGACATTTGGAGATTTTGAAGAAGCAGTTGAGAAGGATGCTACAAAAACTGCTGTGACAGATGGAACTGTTCATCCTTTGACCAGCTACGTGATTAACTATGTGAAATTTTTATTTGAGTAAGTTCATCTATTTTTATCTAATTGCATTTCTGTTTCTAAATTATCCTATGGCATCAACTATTCTTGGGTGCTTGCACAGATGACAAAGCTGATAGTCCTTGTTTGTTTTGTATATTAACCTGTTAGTTTGATTAATATATTTTCTTTTTTTTTTCTTAATTAGAATAAATTTTTATCTTCTTGTTTTTTTTCTGTTTCAAATTTTTCCATTCATTTTTCTTTTCAGATATCTTCAGTTTAATTGGATCACGGCGGTAATTATGATTTTTTTTTTTTCCCCGATATCCATAATGGGGCATTTCACTTGTGCTTGTATGTTTAGCTTGCTGTGGTAGTGTGGAACATAGATACACTAGAAGGCAAATTTTTCTGGGATGATATTTCTGGTCATTTCTTGGAAATGGAGTAATTGTCTTTGTCTGGACTAAAATATAAATTTGAGGAATCTAAATTTGTCATCTTAAAATTTTTTACAGCTGTAAATTTAAATGACCAAGAAAAATGGCAGCCCCTACTGTATTGTAAATCATTACTTTGCTTATTTTTTGATAAGGGAAGCTCTAAGGAGCTCAATTTTGCATCAAATGGTCCCTGTAATTACTTCTGTTGGTATGACGAGTATGATATTAGTTCCTAACATCGTGCCTACATTTCGCACCTTTCATTCCTGTCTTGAGCCATGACAAATCTGGACTTTTCCAAATATTAATATTCATTGTTATTTGTTACTTATTTATTTTTGACGAAGGGTCAGTCAACTAATTAATATCGTGCATGGAAGATTTAGTTCGGAATATTTCCTTTTTCCTAAAGGAACACCTACTTGATCCTGCGAGTTGTCATATACTTGTTCTAAAGATTAAGCTATGCATGCAAGTCAAATTGTGGCTCATTAGATTAGTTATGGTTTGTTTGACAGAACCAACTACTGGGATAAATTTAGTAATTTTAAAGCTACCACATGTAACAAACCCTGAGGCACAAAATTAATATCTAGTCTATTGTGAACCAGTTATTATAAGGCCCCACTATTTCCCTCAACTGGTTCATCATAATTTCTAGTTTTCTTGCAGCCATAGGCGTCGAAGAAGAGGCATCAGTCATTCAAACTTCTCTAAAAGATTCTCAATGTACCTTTGCTTGCATAAATGCAGCCCATGATGCTTAATAGTTTCTATGTCAAGGAGATATTGTGATTACCCCAATTTTATTGTCCGTTTGGTATGGGGGAAACAAAGTGGATGGGAGATGAGAGAAAATTTTAATGAATTCAATTTAAAAAATCAAAGAAGCGGGATCAAATGTTTCTAATTAATTTTTTTCACTCTTTTATCTTACATCTTCTTGTTAAAACTTTACAACCCCAGTTCTCTAATTTTCCAAATCAAACTCATTAAAATTTTTCATCCCCTCTATTTTCCTCATACCAAACATAAGGTTAATGAAAACAACTTGTTTAGCTCATGAACAATTATAGTTAAACTTGAAAAATCACTTCCATTGACAATTGTGTCATCTACACAAACAAGAGGAAAATTATTTCATATTTATTACTTAACATGATCAAGAAATTACCACATTTTGAATTTAAAATATCCCCTAGCAACAGAGTCATTTGAAGTTTATCAGACCAATCCTGAAGTGCTTGTTAAAGGCAATATAGAGCCTTATTCAACTAGTGCACTTATGGAGGCCTCTTTTATAATAAACCCTTAAGATTACATTAGGTAAACATTCTCCCCAACTCCCCATGTCCGAATACATTACTTGTGTTAAGTTGTCAAATTTTCCAACCAAAAGAAGCAGCAAGAGTAAGGATGGTCATTGTAGTAGTAGTCTTTACCATTGGGCTAAATCATCAATTTCCCAGTAACAGTACTGTCAACGTCAAGTTATTGCCACTCTCTTGTTGTCTATTCCTGTTGTTAGTCTTATTATCAGCTTGTTTAGAAGAGGGTCCCATCACATTCAAATTTAAGTCAGTCCAGGATAGTTGACATAATGGAATACCTAAGAGGAAGCTGACTGTCAAGTGAATAAGAGTGAAATCTGATGGAATCCTTTGTCTGGTTTAGATAGCAAAGATTATGGATAATAGATTGTTTTGGCATGTTAGGATCTGAGGGTCGTGCGATCCTAAATCCATACATTATTGATGGAAATTGCTATTTTTTATCCTATATGGTGACTACAGGGCTTAAGTATATTGCTACTTTATATATCTTTGCTTCTTAGATCTTGATAAATTTGATCTGACTAGCTTCTACTTAATCTTCATAGCTACCGGTCCACACTGAAGCACCTTTTCCAAGAATTTGCTGAGAGAGATGAAATTTCAGAGCTGGCCTCTGTAACAATGCGAATAATGCAAGCTCTGCAAACCAATTTAGAGGGAAAATCAAAGCAGTATAAAGATCTTGCTTTGACTCATCTATTTCTCATGAATAATATTCATTATATTGTCAGATCGGTACGGAGGTAAACCACTTAATTGTGTTAGCTGTAGCGTTATTTGCATTTGATTTCTGGTTGATTTTAATTCTTATTTTTTCCCCATCTTTATTAGGTCTGAAGCCAAGGATTTATTAGGGGATGATTGGGTACAACGACATAGGAGGATTGTGCAGCAGCACGCAAATCATTACAAAAGAAATGCATGGGCAAAGGTATTGTTCTCTTGATTTAGTTGGCCATAGCGTCTTGGAGTTTATTTGGATATTAATTTGGTCCTTGTTTAGGTCGATGATGATAGTATTACTAAAGGTAGGGACCTGCTTCTGGTAGCGTAAAAAATGACAGCCCATTTTTTTGGTTTCATGTCTATGAGAGCAACAGATTTGTTTCCCTTCCTCTTTCAGTATAGATTCTATTACTGGAAAAAATGACATATCAGGTTGTTAAGATTTGTGAAAAGGTTTATGAACAACTGTAGTTCTTGAGTTTAAGCTGCTATTGAATTTGGCATACTGGGAATAAATTGTTGAAATTTTGCTGGAATGGCTCAGCAATGTTGTGTTTGGATTAGGGAGTATTTGGATTTGAGCCAAATCCATTATTTGGGTAGATAACAATTCGTGGATTTGGATTTGATCCAAATCCAAGTCAATTTTATTATTGCAATTCAAAAGCTTCATCATGTTAAATGTGAAGTAGTGGAATGTAAAGAAGATATAAATTTCATCAATGTAAGCGGGGGTAATATATTAATTGTGGGAGTTACATTACTTTGAGAAATTTGAAGTGACATGGGAGATATATGGGCATCTACACAAATATTATATTCATAACATTCCTGGTTGTTTTAAATACTCACTCTAACATAATGATTCCAGACGCGACACTAACAAAGGATTTTCCAGAATTAAAATTTGAAATTTTTTATGCTATTCAAATAAAGAATTTTAAATATAAAATTCAAATCCATCTATCAAAACGCATTCTAAAGTTAAATTTCACCTGTTAATTGTGTGAGGAGTTAGTTTAAACTGAATCTATTCGAAAGAGAATTGTTATAGCTATAGCGTAAAGCAATGGGGATCTGGTCAGTGAGTATAAGTAGCTGAGACGAAGAGAGAAGTTCTTGTTGAATCTGAACAAAAGACTGGCATAATTTAATTTTGTTGATAGTCTTGTTTCCAATAAAGTGGAAGGGAATTGAACTTTCAATTAGTCATCGTAAAAAGCTGATTGAGTGTTGATAACTTGATATCATGCTCATGTGTGGGTATCCCGCATACATGCGCACACAAATATAGACTACTCGATTGGGCTGGATTTGTAATAGTTGTACTTTCCTCATACATGATGTAATTTACGATTAGAAATGGACACAAGGAGTTTGGCTAAGCAAGTGTGAGATTGCACGTTGATTCTTCTATTTTTTTTATTTTTCAAAATCCCATTCTTTGATAAGCATACATCTCAAAAATTATTTTACATACAGAGAGATGTCCATTTTCTTCCTTTTGGTCATGAACTGATCTCTTCCTTGCTGGTACTTGTTATAATGTACTGTCGTGTTTTTATTTTGATCCCTTCATGCCATCATTGGCAAAACACAAAATGTCATCCTCTTTACTTTTTATTTTCTGTTTTTTTGGGCAAAAGAACTAAACTGTTGCTGACTTTTGATTCTTTCACTTGCAGGTACTTCAATGCCTCTCCATCCAAGGCCTCACCTCATCAGGTGGTGATGGAGGAACTAGTAGCAGTGGTGCTTCAAGAGCAATTGTTAAAGACAGGTGGATTTTCTATCCATTGCATCTTTGGCAACTTTCTTCCAAGTGAAGTTTCCATTATCTGTCTTTTCACAATTTCATTGGCATTCTATCACAGATTTAAAACTTTCAATATGATGTTTGAGGAAATACATCAGAAACAATCTCAATGGACAGTTCCCGACACGGAGTTGCGAGAATCACTTAGGCTTGCTGTTGCTGAAGTCTTGTTGCCTGCTTATAGATCATTTGTAAAACGTTTTGGGTGCGTTCTCTGATTCTTAACCACTACATACACAAGGCATCTTGCACCTAACGGCCTCTATAGTAAACGCTAATACATGGAAAGCATTTTGATTATCCTATCAAAAGCATTCCATTATCCAGTGTTTAATTCTCTAACTTTGTCTAAGCAATCTTTACCAGTTCTCTATGGCTACTTGTTTATTGATTTTAAGTACTCAATGGTTGATTTTGTTTGCATTTGATCTTTGTGGTTTCTTTTTCGCCTGATGAACTAATGCTTTCTTTCATGTATATGTGAAACCTGGCGTGTAACAGGCCTCTTGTAGAGAATGTAAAGAATGCTCAGAGAATCATCAGATACACACCGGAAGATCTAGAAAGAATGCTGGGTGAATTTTTTGAAGGAAAAAGCATAAATGAAATGAAGCGGTAAATGAAGAATTGATAAGGTAGGCTTGTTTTTTTTGGTGCTTCATCATTCATATGAAAGAACAGTGATATTCAATGGCTGAATGTATCTTCTCACTTGCATGGCAGAGGGAAGCAAATAAAAAGGAGGTACCATTTGTATCTCTATGTCCCATTGATCCTTTTAAAGAGTAAGAATGTCCCTTGCTGCTTTTTAAGATTGCGTGTATAGTTATTTCGTTATAAAGTAAGCCTATGGTTGTTTAAGCTATGAAATTTTTCTTTTCTTTCTGAGAATGCGTGTGTAGCCATGGATTCACTGCAAGAGCAATAGGTGTTTGAGATAAACACTGGAGAAATTCTTCTGGTCCTAATCGATAATAATTGTCCCAAGAGACCACAGACAGTGCAAAACTACTTTTTTTTTTTTTCAATTAAAGAGTTGTTTGCACATAATGCAAAATATATCTATAAAAGTATAAGTCAGAATTCATGAATATTCTAGCTCGTCTCGGGCTTTGACCATGGTTTTATGTAATTTCATCTAAACACCCAAAAAAAAAAAAAAAAAATCAAAAAGTGACTATTGAACTAGAAACTATGTTTTGAAGGGCTGTGGCGACCTTGTTCAGTCTGTTATCAAGCTTTCCCCCTTTTTCATCTAGGTTTTTGTGAATGGTCTTGGGATTTGATCCCCTCAGTTGCGCTCCCTCAATTAAACCTTTGTTGAGGGATACTTCCTTCCCTCCAAAACATAAAGAGATTAGCAAGATAATTAAAGATAATTTTCCATTTATATCCCTTGTTACAAAAAAGATAGTTTTGAACGCAAGGCGGAGATAAGAGAATTTTTCAATCACATTTTGTCAAGAATAAAATACATATAATTTCTATCAATTGAATACACATTTAATGGATGGCAGAAAGAAAACACATTTTAAAAGAGTTAAATGACGTTTTATATTATGTACAGGAGGAATTACCCAAAATTACATTTTTGTCAAGAATAAAATATGTATAATTTCTATCAATTGAATACACATTTAATAGATGGCAAAAAGAGAACACATTTTAAAAAAGAATTAAATGACATTTTATATTATGTGCAGGAGGAATTATCCATTAGATTGTGAACTAATGACAACGAGATAGGCCATTTGTAGCTGCCTCTCAATAATACCATTGGATCACAGAAAGCCTATCCATACAATTCCTCAATCCCCGGGATGAGATATACTCCCTCCTTCATTTATTATAAGATCTAATTTTTGAATAGGTTTGTCTCTTTTTATAAGATATTGTTTGGATTTGTCTGAGATTTAATGTATTATTATTTATTTTACCTCTAATTTAATACATTTAATACATTCTTTTTCTTTATTTATCTCACTATTACTTTATCATATTTACTCATTTATATATACGAGTATATTTGGAAAAAAAATTGTATTTGTTACATATTAATTGTTTTTAACTAATTTTAACTGTTTTCTCAAACTTCACAATTTAGTTAAAAGGATCTTATAATAAGGGATGTAGTAGTAGACAATGTCTCTGTATTAGCATTTACTCAGCCTGGAACAGAGCAATACGGATGGTTAGTTGGATATTATTATATCTGATATTTATATAAAAACTAATTGATTAATTTGAATAGATTAAAAAAATTGATTAAATTAATTATTTATAATAACTATGTATGTGTGTTAACTAGAATTACTATTAGATAAAATTTTTAATTGTGTAACTATTATAAGAAGTATTTTAAAAAAATAAATGAATATGAGAGATAAAATATCAAACTCATTTTTATATTGAGAATATCACTTGTAGTATCTTTGATTTACTCAGCCATTGACGCATTCAATGACGTGCGTGGACGTTTATGCGTCTTCCTTTTCCAGCCTGTCGAATTAAGTGTGAAGAGCCTTTTCGTCGTCACTTTTCTAAATGCCCAAAACAATAAAGTTCAAATTTTTTTTTAAAAAAACTACCCCAAAAAAAATTCCGGAATGTACAGTGATTTTACGGTTCCTACCAATGGCTCTTTACGTGCCATATTATTTTATTCAATATTTTGGTATTTTTGTGACATGCGGTATATTCTCTTTAACCTTATATATACGCCACTTTTAACTAATTTATGAGCAATAAGAAAATTGGTTAAATTTAGTTAATATTTTATAAGAATTAAGATGTTAATCTACTTATGAAGTAGGAAAAATTACAAATAAAGACTCCCAATATATGAAATTGGAATTTGAGACCCTTAATTTAAAAAATACTCCCTCCGTTCCTTATTATAAGAGACATTTGATGTTTATAGCATGTTCCTAAATATAAGAGACACTTAAAAGTTGTCTTTACTTTTTTGTGTTGATTTACTATTTTACCCATATTTATTGTTTCCAACTCACACTCTTTCTCCTTCCCACTTCTCTTTCTTTTAAGAATTTACTATTGTTCTCTCTCATGCTCTCTCTCCTTATTAATGAGGGTATTTTTGGAAAAAAAAATTATACTTTTTATACATTCATTGTTCTTAACTAATTTTAACTGTTTTTTTGATCAACGTAATTCGGTTATTCGTCTCTTATAATAAGGAACGGAGGGAGTAGTAAATAAAGACCCGGTCTCATATTGCAAGTATGAAATCTTGCTGAAATGTTTGAAATGCCTCTCAGCTAAATTGTGATTTGGTCTGCTGAAATTGTCATTTGCTAAAGTAAATTTGTCATTTCCCATAGTCAACTTGTCATTAAGCATATCCTCAGCGAAATTGTAATTTGGTCTACTGAAGTTGTCATTAGTTAAGTGAACTTATTATTTTTCATAGTTAACTTGTCATTTGATTGAAAAATATTTTAGACATTTCACCAAGATTTTATATTTACAATATGAGACTGTGTCTTTATTTATCGTTTTCCAAATTAAGAATCCCATATATTGGGAGTTTTTATTTGCTATTTTTCCTAATAAATATTCATTTGGTCCCACTTATTCCTTTAAATACACGCACGTGAATCGTCAGAGTATCAAGCAATCAAACAACAAGCAAAACCATGTCCAATAATTCCATCCTCAATTATTCTCTCTTTTTCCTTTCTTTCTTCTTCCTCATCTTCAACCTCTTTCTCAGAAAACGAAGATTCACAGATCTCCCACCTGGCCCTCCTTCTATTCCTATACTCGGAAATCTCCACCAGCTCAAGAAACCACTCCACCATCACTTTCATCGTATTTCCCAAAACTATGGTCAAATCTTTTCTCTCTGGTTCGGCTCTCGTTTGGTCGTGGTCAATTCTTCGCCATCCCTAGTTCAAGAATGCTTCACCAAAAACGATGTCGTTCTCGCCAACCGCCCTCTGTTTCTCACCGGAAAACACGTCGGCTACAACTACACCACCATCGTCTCCGCCCCGTACGGCGACCACTGGCGCAACCTCCGCCGAATCATGCTCCTCGACGTCCTCTCAACCCACCGTCTCAATTATTTCCTGGACATGAGAAGAGATGAGATGAAACGGCTCGTTCAAAAACTGGCTTATGATTCTCGTCAGGGTTTTACGAAGGTAGAACTAAGATCCAGATTTTGTGAGCTGACATTTAACACTATGATGAGAATGATTAGTGGGAAGAGATATTGGGGAGAAGATAGTGAAGTTGGGGATGTGGAAGAAGCAAGGAAGTTCAGAGAGATGATAAAGGAATTGATGAAGCTAGGAGGGGCAAATAATCCGGGAGAGTTCGTGCCAATACTGAGATGGTTTGATTTGGATAATTTGGAGAAGAAGTTGAAGAGTATCAGTGTTAGATTTGATGGGTTTTTGCAAGGACTTGTTGATGAGCATCGAAGTAGGAATACGAGTGGAAATACTATGATAAATCATCTCTTGAATTTGCAGAAATCACAGCCAGAATATTATACGGATCAAATTATCAAAGGTCTTATTTTGGTAAGCAGGCGCTATTGTTTTGGATTTTCTTTTTTTTGTTGTTGGTTTCATTGTGTTGTTTCTATTAATCATTTTCATTTTTTTTCTTTTTTACCGGATCCGGATTTTTGCAAATTGATTTAATTAAAGGCCAAGGAATGTCCCACACTTTGATGCTCTTTGAAATGCCCCATCCTTTGAAATTCTTTTCTCTTTTGTTCATTTGTTTATTGATCAATAGATTCTATGTAAAATGAGTAACATTTTGATTTTGATAGATTACAAGTATGAAATGGTATAGTAGTTTAAATTTTTAAGCTTTTTTAAAGAAGAATAGTCTAAGACGGTACAATTTTGATTTATTTTCTCTTAAAAAATTTAAATTTACACCATTTGATACCTCTAAGATCAAAATGTTACTTATTTTACATAGAATTGAATGACCAATGGACAAAAGAGAAAAATATTCGGAAACTTAGGACATAACAAGGGACATTAGAGAGTGATGCATTAGAAGCATCTTTGCCTAATAAAGACTTTTAAATGACATGTTTTTCACTTTTGATTTGGTTTGACTTCACATACAGGAAATGCTTCTTGCGGGAACTGACACATCGGCTGTAACTTTAGAGTGGGCAATGTCTAGTTTATTGAACCATCCAGAGGTATTAAGAAAAGCAAGGCATGAAATAGGCATGCAAATAGGAGAAGAACACTTGATAGATGAACAAGACATTACGAAGCTACCATATCTTCAAAACATTGTATCGGAAACATTTCGATTGCATCCGGCAGCCCCATTATTGTTACCTCATCTGTCTTCAGACGAGTGCACTATAGGAGATTATAACATACCACGTGATACTATTGTGTTGATTAATGCTTGGGCCATCCATAGAGATCCCAAATTATGGAGTGATCCGTTGAGTTTCAAGCCTGAAAGGTTTCAGAAAGAAGGCGAAGCTAATAAGTTAATGCAATTTGGATTGGGAAGACGAGCATGTCCAGGTTCAGGTTTGGCACAACGCACAGTAAGCTTGGCATTGGGTTTATTGATTCAATGCTTTGAATGGAAACCAGCAAGTGAGGAAGAAATTGACATGACAGAAGGAGCAGGATTGACTTTGTCAAAAGTTATTCCTTTACAAGCAATGTGTAAAGCACAACAACGGATCATTAACAAGAGTTATTTTTGAAAGCATATGTGGATGTTTGTAGTCCTAATTAATTTTGCATTATGGCTTGTCATTGAAATTATATTACTTTGTTTTCTTATTAATTGTTCTTCTGGTTTTATTTATTAGTCACTTTTACCATGAATCAAGAAAAAAATCTTAAACTTCATTAACTATGCCATAAAATTTAATAATTTTTTAATTTTAATTTATTCTTATTTAATAGACATTATATATACCCTATGAAAATAAAATCTACTACTTAATAATAAATGAAGGATAA